GGGGGGGTGTGTCAAGAGATTAGGTGCACTCAGAAAACAAGAGTGGCATACAGAAAAGACAGACGGACTGACGGACGGATAAACAGATCCAACAGACAGACGGATGGACAAACAGACAGACGGACAAACAGGCGCGACTACTGACCAGGCCTCCTCAGGGTTGAGGACCTCCGGCTCTGTGAACAGCTCTAGGCACTGGTACAGGGTGGGCTTGTTGCTGGTGGCTGGGGGAACACAGGGAAAACACACGTTCACTTTTCATAAGCGTTTTACGGCATTTGCAACACAAGAAGGTCATATAAGTGCCGAAGATTAAATGTGTTGTTACAAGAGAGTAACATAATATACACAAAAAAGAAGGGATAAGGACGTTTTTTTTGGTTAAAATAAAACTGTTGGAAAACATTTTTTCCTCTCACCTGACAAAACAAAAAGAACAGAAATGTTTTTTTCCTCATAATGGACTAACAAAACAAACAGTCAAAATAGAAATGAACAATGGAGATAACAAAAAGTCAAAACAGAACTGTTGAACGGCTTTTTTCCTCACAATGTACAATGCAATAATCTCCAATGAAAAATCTAAAAACGGTATTATTTTCCTCGAAACTCTAAGAAACTAAAACAAGTGGATACAAGCCACAAGTAGGAAAGATGTACATCTATGTAAAATACAAAAAAATAAAATTCTGTTTTTCACATAAGAAATTCTTTTTTTTTTTTTTAATGCGAAAATGAAGATACTTACAGGCAGTAACATTGTTAAGATTTTCAGCTTCTTCACCTTCCTGGTAGAAAAAAATAAAGTAACAAGAATTGTAATTGATTTGTCATCGAGTAATAAATATAATAAATAAACCACCCAGCATCTGAGCAGAGAGAAAGCCCGGGACTCACCGACTTCACTGTTGGCGAGCGCATTGTCGCTGTGGCAGCGCACGTAGGACGTGTAGTGTCCCCCGATGAGCAGGCCGTGGTGGTTGGCCACGCCGTATAGGTCGTAGACCGGTGGAGACTCTCCCGGCGCCTGGCCCACGCAGTACTCAGACAGATCCAGACCTCTGGAAGATGCGTGTTTTCATTTTAGTAAGGTTGTTTTTTTTCGTGAGAGTTTTATTGTACTTACGACACAATAAGGTCATATAAGTGCTGAAGAATAGATGTATTACAAGAGAGTAACAAACACAAAAATGAAGGAAGAGAGATAACGACGAAAGATGTTTTAGTAAGTGTTTAACGGCACTTGCATTACAATAAGGTCATATAAGTGCCGAAGAATAGATGGGTAACAAGAGAGTAACATACACAAAATACAAGGAGCAGAGAAAAGGAATATATAGGTTTGATAGGTAGGAAAGAAGGAGCACAGCACACTAGAGCACCTGCCAACCGCCCACAATTAGTAAGGTTTTACAGCGTTCGCAACTGTATAAGGTTATATGAGCAGGCCGTGGTGATTGGCCACTCTGTACAGGTCGTAGATCGTTGGAGACTCTCCCGGCGCCTGCCCCACGCAGTACTCAGACAGATCCAGACCTCTGGGGGTCACAAAAACAAAACTTTCAACACCCTGCGAGTACCAACATTTGAGGGCTTGGGTGCTTCGAAAACAGATACTGCTAATCTTTAGTTTTAGTTTAGTGTAGTTTTAGAACGTTTTTTTTTTCTTTTCTTATTTTTGTTAAGAGTTTTAAGGCACTTGCAACACAATAAGGTCATAAAAGTGCCGAAGATTAGAGGTGTTACAAGAGAGAAACAAACAAACACAAAAAAGAAGGAGGAGAGATAAGGACAACAGATGTTTGATAGAAAAGAAGGAGCAAACCACACCAGGGCACCCGCCAACCACCCACAGCTCATATACACAGACACAAAGACACACACACACAGACACGTACCTAGTGGGAAACTCAACATGCTTCTTGATCTTGGAGCGCATGAGAAAGTTCTGGAAGGAGAACCTCTTGAGCTGTATGATGAGGGTGTGTGGCAGACGCCAGATAGACATCTGCTTGCTGGCCTCCACGTGCTTCTTGCAGGACGGACAATACCTGTGGGGCGGCAGCGAGAAATATTCCCTGCGATTAAGTAGTAGTTTAAGGAAGGTTTTTAAAAAAAAATGGTCTTAGTAAGTGTTTTACGGCACTTGCAACACAATAAGGTCGTACAAGTGCCGAAGATTAGAGGTGTTATTAAAGAGTAACAAACACAAAAGAGAAAAAGGGGAGATAAAGACGATAGATGTTTTAGTTGTAGTTTTAGTAGAGGTTTTACGGCGCTGGCAACTGCATAAGGTCATATGAACGCCAAGGGGCGGATGTCAACAGAGAAGTCCAAATGGGGAATCAGGCTTACTCTGCTCACCCGTCTTTCCCCAACAGCACAAAGTCTGCTTCGACTACCAAGGCACCTTGGAAAGAGAAGGTCACAAGAGAGTGATAAACATACAAAAGAAGTAGAGGAATAATGACGATAGGTAAGGATTAGGAAAAAAAAGCAGCAGTTCCCCCTATGTTGCTCCGGCACAGTTATGAGCATGACATGGATAAATCAGCCCATCTGCAATTGTACGGTGCATAAGAACATGTTGATA